AAACGTGTGAGGTGTGTGCTGAAATGGATGCGGTGGGCAAATGCGGACGCAGCCACCTGGGCGTTCGGTGGAGTTCTTTCTGGAGCCACACGTGTGAGGGGTGTGCCGACATGGGTGCGGCGGGCGTGTGCGAACGCAGCCATTGGGAGCATTCGGTGGAGCTCCATGTGGGGCCACGAAAGTTGCGAGGGATGTGCCGAAATGGGTGCGGTGGGCGCATGCGAACGCAGCCACCTGGGCGCTCGGTGGAGCCAACTATGGGGCCACGACACGTGTAAGGGGTGTGCCAACATTGGCGCGGTGGGCGCACACAAACGAACGCAGCCACCTGGGCGTTCGGTGGAGTACCCTGTGGGGCCACGAAACGTGTGAGGGGTGTGCCGAAATGGATGCGGTGGGCGCATGCGAACGCAGCCACTGGGGGCCCTTCGGTGGAGCTCCCGATGGGGCCCCGAAACGTGTAAGGGTGTGCCGAAAAGGGTGCGGTGGGCGCATGCGAACGCAGCCACTAGGGCCTTCGGTGGAGCCCCCTGTGGGGGCAACGAAACGTGTGAAGGGTGTTCCGAAATTGGTGGTGATGATGACAGCGATCATGATGGCGATTATGATGATAATGACGATAACGACGACGACGACGACGACGTCGACGATGATGATGATGATGATGATGATGATGATGATGATGATGATGATGATGATGACGACGACGACGACGACGACGACGACGACGACGACGACAACGACTACGAAGACGGCGACGACGAAGATGATGATGATGATGATGATGATGATGATGATGATGATGATGATGATGGCGGTAATGATGGTGATGGTGATGATGATGGTGACCATCATGATGATGATGAAAACGATGGTGTTGATGGTGATGATGGTGGTGATGATGATGATGGCGGCAACGATCACAATGATGATAATGGTGATGATGATGATGATGATGATGATGATGATGCTGGTGATGTTGATGATGATGGTGGCGTTGATGAGCGCGAGGGTGACAGCGATAATGATGACACTGACGATGACGATAATGATGGTGATGGTGATGGTGATGATCATATGGTGATGGTGATGATGATGGTGATTATGATGGTGATTCTGATGATGAATGTGGTGGTGCTGATGATGATGATGGCAATGAGGTTGATGGTGATAATGCCAATGATGATGCTGATGCGGTGATGATGCTGGTGATGATGATGATGATGATGATGATAATGATGATGATGATGCTGATGATGATGATGATGATGATGATAATGATGATGGAGGGAAGCGGGGTGGGAGGAGGAGGAGGAGGAGGAGGAGGAGGAGGAGGAGGAGGGAGGAGGAGGAGGGAGGAGGAGGAGAGGAGGAGGAGGAGGAGGAGGAGGAGGAGGAGGAGGAGGAGGAGGAGGAGGAGGAGGAGGAGGGGAGGAGGAGAGGAGGAGGAGGAGGAGTGAGGGAGACGCGGGGCGCTGTTTCTTCAAAACGAAGACCCAACACCACAGGACGGCTGGGAAAAAACATTTGGGAAGAAGCGCGTCGACTCTGTATTGCCTGATGGGTAGGCTGGGACCTCCGGATGGCCTTGCTTTCTTCTCCCAACTACGTGGCTTAGTAAGAGTAGAAGGAGAACAGGACAGGAGAGGGGTGGGGCGGAGCAGGAGTAGTGGCAGGAACAGCAGGAGAAAGAGCAGGTGGTGCATGAATGTATACAAGCTATCCCATGGCCCATGGCGACTGCTAGCAGCGCAAACACTGGCGACGCGACACGCCTACTTCCCGACGATCGCCGCTCAAGCTATCGCAACACACCACGAAGCAGCACGACAAGGAGAGCACCAAATACACATCTTCAACCGACGCATCATCTTCATCAACAAGGCTGGAGACCCCACGTTCCAGGAATACATCGACAGGCTACGCACATACCAGGCCCGCTCCGCTACGAGGTCTACCTCAACAGCGCTAACGAACACCCACTTGGAGCGCCATTCAGGGAGCCACCGCTCAAGGACATGGTGACGATACACAAGGCCACTCCCAAACCTAAGCCAAAAATCATCACGACAGGCCAGTCTACCTCGACATGCCGACCGACCTCTACCAGTTCAGAACGTACTGCTGACTACCGCAACATCCACAACCAGTGCTCCATGTGGGTCAATTGCCGCAGAAGGACCCCTGCTGATAAGGTAGTGAAGACAGGCCAGCAGTCAGACCCTTTATGCAGATCACTGAACTGCAACACACTCTTCCTCCGATTCCCCTGCGGCTCTTTGACACGATGGTGGCATCCTATATCAATAAGGTTTGGGGCTATCCTTTCAAAACCTGGGTAGCAGCCCTGGGATTGCCTTTTTGTCGCGCATCTGACTCTCTACAGATATTCATCATATCCTCTCGCGCAAGCCCCTACATCTTGAAAGCAGTCTGTACAACACAGACCTCCTGACTTGTTCTCGTGATCTTTGTCTCTCGAGATGTTGATACAGGCTGCCCCAATAGCACCCCTAGCAACAACACCTACATCTTCAGCTGGGTGACAATAGGGAAGATGCGACCTCTGTGGGTGGGGGGGTACCCCACAAAACCCAGGGTATCGGCCCCAGAATCGCACATGATGTTACATAAGTTTGCTCAGCAATTCTCTGAAATTCATTTGGTTGTACGACTCATCTTGACACCTGATATGCAATACGCCTATCCGTTCTTTTCCGCGCGGCTCGTTGATACGATGGTGGTACACGTTCTTCTGCAGGCGTGGGGTGATCCTACAAGACCCTGGGTAGCGGCCCCAGGATTGCACCTTGTTTCGCGCACTTCATACGTTCTCACTTCTCCTCACACCGTCTCAATCCCCTCCCATTTTGCACACCCCAGACATGTGCTCCTGGCCAACATGTAGCATTACAGGCCAGCCACACGGCCAGCCGACTCCAAATGCCAGCCTATACGCACATTCCTTCCTTAGTGGCACCACGCCTCGTCACCTTCTCACCTGCAGCCAGCATAGGTGTTACCTAGGGTTGGTACAGCGAATCGACTCTATCTTGCCAACACTTTGAGGAACACCGACGGTGCTGCCCTCCTTTTACAGCCGCCCACGGCGCTGGTCTAGCAGCACACAGAGCTAACGCTACACGATTTGAGGGAACATGATGCAGGGCAATCTCCACACACCATGCCCTCAGGGGACACTTGGGCCCCCGACAGGGATGCAACCCGTCTGTGGTGCTACACGCGGCAGCATTCATACGTACTTGTTACGGCCACGCAGTCGTGGTACGCATACCCTTGGCAGCCTACAAACGCCACCCTTTCAACTTGACCTCACCACCTGTATTTCTTCATACCCAGGCCACTCAGCGAGCACAGACTCTCTCTTCTTTCCTGTCCCAGACGTATACGTAAGCAATCTGCCCACGCAAACGTACTGGCCGCACGGCATGCACTCGACAGAAACAGCTTGTACGTACATCGGCTTCGTTTGTTACATCTTGCTCGCAGGTGTTTCATCTGTTTGATACAAGCTGTTTCTACAAGTTGCTCCAGGCCCCACGCATGTAATACCATACCATCCCCACGTTTTTGTGCGCACACACACACACACACCAGACTTGTGCTCTGGCCAGCCTATCTATACAGGCCAGCCATGTCTGATAGACCACGCGGCCAGCCTACCCGTTTACAGGCCAGCCTGTATGCACAGTGAGATTATATTAGCATGAGCAGTTCGCAATCACTGCCATAATACAGCCTGTATCATCAGGCTACTTTGCACTGCCACTGTCACTCAGGACAGGCCAGCCTCACAGGCAGACCTTGAAAAAGCGACGGGGGGGATTGATTGGGTCGTCAGGGTGGTGGAGACTCTCGCACCTGGCTAACATGACTATGCATTTTTTCTCCAGGCTGACTGTTTACTGGCTACAATGCGTTGCCATTTTGGCACGTCAGTAAGGGAACGACCTGCCATTCCTACTGTGGACGACTGACCACACGCACTCCAGTAATCTTCAGCAGTACTAGTCACTGCCTCGACCTCCGTCGCTCCACCTATCGTTTGCGTTTACATAGCCAGAGCGATGCGAATCGTTTCTTGCCAGTGCTGTTATTAGCACACTCGTTCCGCAGCAAGTACCTATAATGAAATGTTGGGTTTAACGTACTGGGTAATTACATGGGGTAGTGGTGTTGTGGAGAGGATACTACTCTTTTGTCGGGCGCCTACTCAATTGCCTACTCTTTTCCTTGACTCGTTTTCCCAAATGGCCCGCGGCGCCCGCCAGGTTCATTTTTGCACTTTTTCCACTAACGCCACAGGGTAACCTGAGGTCGGTCTAACGTAGAAGGTGGAGCATGAAAAACTGAAGAGGGACGAGAAAGAGGAGGAAGATTGGCTCAGGTTCGCACTTAGTTGGGTGCCAGGAGAGGTCCTCATTGGTAGAGCCCCCCTGGGCAGGGCTGAACGAATGAGGGAAACCCGACTCACAACCCAATTCAGGGGAGGGTAAAGAGCCTGGTATTAAAAGTACTACTGCTCCGTTGGTTGGCTCCTCGCCCCATTGCCCTTCCTAGCGATCCAAGCGGATCTGGACACCTAGGGGACGGCACCCCGAAGGGGAAGTGAGCTTGCTGGGGCAAGGGTCCACTGATAATGGAAGGATGCGCCCACACGGCAACCCGGATACCTACCTTACGGGTGACCGGGGGACCGGCTCCCAGGCAGGACGGTTCGCCACACAAGGGGTGACAGGGGGGACGGGCTCCACGGCAGCCCACATCGCCCACCTACTCAGCGGTCGCAGGGGGATATGGTACCAAGCTAGGTCGAGGAGGAAGACGAGGAGGAGAAGGAGCAGGAGAAGCAGGAGGAGGAGCAGGAGGAGGAGGAGGTGGAGGAGGAGCAGGAGGAGGGCTTCTCGGCCTCTCCCCGCGCTGGCGCGGGGCAGCCTCCCCGCCAGCGAAGCCAGGGGCGGGCAGGCGGGCGGGCTCGCCACGTTCAGGTGCGGCCGCGGGTCCGGGGTCGCCAGCGGCTGGGCGGGCAGGCGCGGGGGCGGGAGGGCCTCCTCCTCGTCTTCGTCCTCGTCACAAACCTCGTCCTCGTCCCCGTCTTCCTCCTCCTCCTCCTCCTCCTCCTCCTCCTCCTCCTCCTCCTCCTCCTCCTCCTCCTCCTCCTCCTCCTCCTCCTCCTCCTCCTCCTCCTCCTCCTCCTCCTCCTCTTTCCTCCTCCTCCTCCTCCTCCTCCTCCTCCTCCTCCTCCTCCTCCTCCTCCTCCTTCCTCCTCCTCCTCCTCCTCCTCCTCCTCTCCTCCTCCCCCTCCTCCTCCTCCTCCTCCTCCTCCTCCTCCTCCTCCTCCTCCTCCTCCGCCTCCTCCTCCTCTCCTCCTCCTCCTCCTCCTCCTCCTCCTCCTCCTCCTCCTCCTCCTCCTCCTCGTCCCTCTCTCTCTCCTCCTCCCTCCTCCTCCTCCTCCTCCTCCTCCTCCTCATCATCATCCTCCTCATCCTCCTCCTCCTCCTCCTCCTCCTCCTCCTCCTCCTCCTCCTCCTCCTCCTCCTCCTCCTCCTCCTCCTCCTCCTCCTCCTCCTCCTCCTCCTCCTCCTCCTCCTCCTCCTCCTCCTCCTCTCCTCCTCCTCCTCCTCCTCCTCCTCCTCCTCCTCCTCCTCCTCCTCCTCCTCCTCCTCCTCCTCCTCCTCCTCCCCTCCTCCTCCTCCCTCCTCTCCTCCTCCTCCTCCTCCTCCTCCTCCTCCTCCTCCTCCTCCTCCTCCTCCTCCTCCTCCTGCTCCTCGTCCTCCTCCTCCCTCCTCCTCCTCCTCCTCCTCCTCATCATCATCATCATCATCAGCAGCAGCAGCAGCATCATCATCATCATCATCATCATCATACTCCCCCTCCTCCGCCTCCTTTTCCTCCTCCTCCTCCTCCTCCTCCTACTACTCCTCCTCCTTGTAGGCACTCTGGGTTCAGCCGGCCATCGCAAGAGAAACTGAATAAGATGATTTTGCACTCCGTGCACACAAATCCCTTGAGCCAACGTGTCACGCGTGAGCATGTGCAACAGACAAGAAACACAATGCAGAGAGCAAAGACATAGGCAGGATAGTCAGGACGAGGGGGAGCCATATGATTCCACAACGCCCCCCCACTTACTGTCGGCCTGACTCCTCAAGCCGTCGGTCGCGATCCTGTAGATAGCGACGACTGGCTTCACGACTGCGCTGGCCGTTCTGACTGCGCCGGCCCTTCTCGCCGCCAGCGAGAAGGTGAGCCCTCTCAGACTCGGCATCACTCAAAGTCAGCGACCCTCGACGGATCATATGACCCATCGCGTCGGAGCCCTTGGACACATCTGCCTTGGCCATCACATCTGTAGGGTTGAGTAGATGAGGAAACCACGTCACACACGAGCCTCGTTGAGAGAAAGAATCCCGAGCGATAGCTAAATCCACGGAAGTCCTGCGGTCCTCCCTCCGTCCGGCACAATTCTTGGAGAGACGATCGAAGATGGACTTGGCGTCCGTGGCATGAACTCCTGGCAGGGGTCGATGCAGCTCAAAGTTGTCGCGCAGCACGGACACGCAGGGCCCAGCGCACTGGCGCCAGTCGGCAGTCGGCACGTCCCCGTAGCATGCATCACGAAGTAGGAGCTGTATCCAGTCAGCGTCTCCTAGAGACTGACAGAGTTGGCCTCCCCAGCCAGGTAAGAGTTGGCAGCTCGACGCATCTTGGATGATCTCCACGACAGCATCGTCACCTTGCTGGTCAGACCGGCAGCAAGTTGGGGGCCGGCCACACCAACGGCCCAGGCACAGTGCATGGGTGAGTCCGTTCCTACCCCGGCCGCGTCACTCAGAGTGAATCTCACTACTTGAGAAAGGTCGCGCCACCAGATGGCCAAGTATTGCGAGGCGGTGTCTCGCAGCATCTGAACAGCACGGTTGAAAACAACGATGTCCTCCACGACAGCCTGCCCCAGCTTGCCGGCAAGGATCGACGCCGTGCCCGCCACCTCTGGACGGGTCTCCTTCGCCACCCAGTTGATCCGGTAGATGCCTGACCTGAGCTGCTCGAACTCGGAGCGATTCAGGGCCTCCTGTCTCTTGGAGCGGCGGCCCTTCTCCAGGACACTCGGGTGAATCTCCTCCAGCATGTACTTCTCCTGATCAACTCGGATGCGGCGGGCCTCCTTTCGGATGCGTCGCCCGGCAAACTCAGCCTCGCCCCCTCGCCACTTGCCGAACGTGAAGGTGGCCTTCAGAAAGTCGGCCAGCCACTTCGCGTGAGAGGTCACCGTTCCCAGCCAGAGATCGCCCACTTCTATCAGGACCTGCCCCTTCAAGGAGCCCTGCTCCCGAAGGGCCCAGCAACAGGGTTCGAGAAGTAACTTCTTGAAGCCGAGGTCCCGGAGGTATGAGGTGATCGCGGCACGCCATTCCCATGGAGCGTCGTCCAGACCGCAGACTGCAACGCGTAGCTCGATCAGGCACCCGTCAGCAACGTGGATGCCAGAGAGCCCCTTCACAAGGAGCCACGTAGATAGGTCCGCCCGCTCGGCGGAGTCGTCTCGACTGACTGAATGCGTTCTTGCAGTCCACGGTACTCTGATTCATGCCGTGACCCAAGAGCACGAGCCCGAAGAGCATCATGGCCTCTGACTGACGTGTCGGAGAGTACGTCACTACTTGTTCCGTGTCTGGGTCGGCGAACCCGTGGACAAACCACCTACTCTTCGCCTTCGGGGCGCTGAAGGCGCCCTCCTGCGCCTTCCACCGGCGGACCATCCTTGACGACAGCACGCGCTCAGGTCGGGTGCGAAGCACGTGAGTGGACTCCTCCTTGCTAAGAATCCGCAGCACGTTCGGCTTGTTGAGCACGCTCCACTCGGCCTCGTCCGATCGCCGGAACTCCTCGAGCTCCTGGGCTGAGAGATCTTCGATCTTGACCTCTCCGCCGCGCGAAGACAACAGCGAACACTGCCCATCACAGTCCTCGGAGTGCTCGAAGATCAAGTCCTTCCGGCCGTTCATGTAGGTCTCGATGTCCCCGCCCCAGCCCGAGTCTTCGAACCAGGAGTCCAGCACCTCACAGTAGCCCTCGAGAGCGCTGAAGTCGGTCTCGTCCATCCGGAGACCCTAAGCTGCTCGTCCGTCGGCGCTCCTCCAATTGCTGATCGAAGCGCGTCGGGATCCAGTCTGGCACGTTTGAGCTCTGGGTCGTCCTCAGACAACGAAGGGGGTCTCGATGAAGCCCGAGAGCCTCCGGCTGCGGCCACCGCCAGATCCGGCCACCGAGCCAGCAGGAGTAGAGCTGTCCTGAGATACGGGAGGCGTCGGCTCAGCTGCGGGCCCCCTCTGAGGCCCGGTCGAGATGACACCCGAGCTGACCTGTCCGAGAGCCCTTGCTGGCTCTGCTGGAACTGGGATTGACTCCTCGCGCTCCGGCACTGGTATCAGGCGAGCCACTGGCCCTGGGGCCCAGACGAGTCGGGGTCTCGGCCTCGAGCTGGCTGTCCGAGCTGAGAGCTGCAGTCCAGGAGGTGGAGCTGCAGGCCCAACCGCTGCTTGAGCCGCAAGTCCTGCGATTGCTGGAGTCGGAGCTGGAGCTGGGCAGGCGCTGGAGACGGGAGCTGGAGCAGGAGCCCCTGAGGCCTCGATGCTGCCGGCGCCCATGTCGGAGTCCCGGGAGCCCCCTTGGTGACCAGAAACCTCGTTGGAGCCAGTGGGGGCAAGAGACACGGGGGACGCGAGTCCCTCGGAGCTGATGGGAGCCGCCGTGGCCTCTGGTGGCGGTGGTCCCTCTTGAGCAACATCTAGAGCCCCTCCCGAGATTCCCTTTGCTAGCTGCTCGTCCAAGACACCCCTGTAGCACGTAGTTTGCACGAGCTCGGCCCCCAGAGACTCTGACTGCGTAGCAGGTCGCATCTGTTCGCAGCTGCATTTCCACAAGCGACTACGCACACACCCACACTGTTGCACCGTGATGCTAGACTACTGCACCTGGCCCGACCCACCTGCCCCTCTGCAAACCGCATGGTTTGCGCCCTGTCTCGGGCGCACGCCTCCAGATGTACACCCAATCCCCTGGTCGGCGGGTCCTGTCTCGATGCCAAGCTGATCCCAACGCATGCTGCAACTTCCCCCTCGCATCTCTTTCCATCGCGAGCTGTCGAGCTCGAGACCGGATCTCATGCCGGTGTCGGAAGGCCGCGGCTGCACTGTCGAGGTCGGCGCTTGGTTCCTCAAGGTCGTGAAGCCCCATATGGTCTAGGGGGTCCTCGCTGAGCAACTGCTGGGGCACTCTGGGGTTCTGCCCGAAGACGAGCTGTAGAGGCGAGTACCCGCCTCGATTCAGAGATCGGTTCCGCCAGGCAGCCAGCTCACAGGCCGCCAGTTCTAGGTCGTCGGGCCCCTCTCCAGGATGGCATCGCCCACGAACCTCTGGAGCCGTTCCTTCAACCATTGACCCGCCCGCTCTGTCTTCCCATTTTGCCAGGGGCTGTCTGCGTCGGCGGCGTGTTGGAACGCCCCTCGTTGTTCTAAGTGTCTGCTGAACTCGGCCTCGAACCCACCGCCGCCGTCGGATATTAGGACCTCTGGAGGCCCGTAGCGTCGGATCCAACTCCGAGAGAAGGCCGCCCATACAGCAGCTGGCTGAGAGCACCTCCCGGGCCCCACGAGCCCCACCCACTGTAGAGACGTTCCCGAGCACACAGCACTCAGAAACGTGTACTCCCGACGCTGATAGGTCACAAAGAAGAGATCCACTCCGATCAACTTGTTGAATGAGAACGTTCTGGCAACTGCTGCTCTCCGCTGAAGGATCGACTTGCCAGCACTCTCACAAGACTGGCACACGAAATGACGTTGAATATAGCGCAGAATCTCTGGTCGGGCGCGGGCGCATCTGAGAATGCGAAGCAGGTCTCTCTTTGTGGGATGGCCTAGATTGATGTGGGCCTTCTCCACCTGTCGATTCTGTTCCTGGGTCAACGGGCAGTCCTGCTGCTGCTGATCCCCCCCCTCCCCCTCGTCCTCTG